GCTCTTCCTGGTAGGTTGTCGGAACTGGACAGTTCTTAGGCCCCAAGAAGTTAGAGGTTCCTGTCCTGACGTATGGATACTCATTTTGGTGAGGTGTCAGAGCTGGGTGGAGGGGGCCATGTGTGTTAAGTCAGTGGAGAAGGGGGAGCAGAACAGTGGACCTAAGCTGCCCCAAGCTTGGGAACGAGCCCAAGAAGATTTCTACAGAAACTGCTCTAGACCAAGAGTGTTTCTCTGGGTATTTGCCCACGAGGCTGAGGGCCTCCTCCATGCTCCAGCAGAGTGGTGTTTATGTCTCACCGATTTTGTATTTCCTGTGCTCCCCTTCACGGCTTCTGTGAAAGAAGCTCTTGCTCTGGTCAGTGTACCTCAGGAATGGTGCTCTTCTGTCTGGTGTGTGCTTGTGAAAAAGTATTTTATGGGGTGATCCTTTATAGTTGGGTTCTTACCCATCAGACCCAATTTCACCCACCCTGACCTTCTCTCCTAGAAAAAAGCCTAGGGCACGGCACCAAGAGAAGCCTTCGGGTGAGCCTGAACCCCTGTCTGTTGGATCTATGTGACTCTCAGCAATCTCATCCTCCCATGAAACTTGGAGCCTCAGTCTCCTCTTTTTGTAAAATGGGATTAATAACACCATCTGCCAGATACGCAGGGTTATGGGGAGGAACAACAAAAATAATGATCATAAAGAGCTTTGGAAACATTAAATCACCATGGGAAGGAAGGCATCACTATCGTTGTTTCCTCCAGGGTTGTGAACAAATTCTATTAGGCAATGCAACATAATGACTGCAAACCTCACTTTAGGCCCTAGTTTTTCGAGAGCTCACCATCCACCATTCCTGATTTACCATATCCTTCTCAAGAAGTCCCAGTGGCAAGCTGCTTTGTAAGGAGTCTGAGACGATATGTCAGGAGCTATCAAGCCCAATCTAGTCTATCCCAAAGAGCAAGGGTGTTTGAGGTTGGTCACTGGGGCAATGGCAAATGAAGCCCATTGGTGGTGACCAAGTTCCTTCCTTGGGCCAGTCTGAGGGTATCACAGTTGAAAACTCTGGCCTTTGGTACCCAAACTGGCAGGAATCCCAAATGCAAAGAGAGTCAGCTCCCGTTTGGGAGACCGAATCCTCAGACCCAGTTTCCCGTCAGCCCTAGCACGGCCATCTTTACACTTGACAGCCTCCCATCCACCGGAAATCACTATGCAAAATCACTCCCTCCTCCAGGGCCTTGGCTGCCCTCCTTCTCACACACTGCGTTTGCTCTGTTTGACTGGACACATCTACCTAGGCATCCCTTCAGAGTCAAGAAGTGGGGATTAGACATGAGGCTCACGCCGAGATGTTGATGGTGGTGATTTTCCATCCTCTGCTCTGATCAAGTGAGGACAAGTATTAATTTCATGTCTCTTTAAACTGCAGGGTGGAACATAAACATATTCAAGAACCCTCTTGATGTTTAGTGTTTCTTTAAAAGGAAAAGGAGAAGGGAAATGAATTTGGGGAAAAAAGGAAGGAAAGAGGGAGGGAAGGGGGAAAGAAACACTACTTACGCCGCTTGCAGCCGCATTTTTTTATTCTTTTGGGATCCGTGATGTCATCATGACAGGCCTTGCAGTAAAAAAATGCCCTGGAGGAAAAGAATGGAAAAACTGACACGATTCATAATCCACCCAAGTGAAATGAGGACCACATTTCCTCCACCATGGTGCCAAATTAATGAAACACGCCAGCACTAATTTCCTTTAATCTTCTGAAAGGTTTAGACGTTTACAGACGGAAATGTTTGTTGCGAGACCATTTATTTCAAACATAGGATTCTGCGATTTGAGTTAGTGCTTCTCTTCATAAACTTTTATTTGAAAAGGAGCTGGGAGAGAGATTGCTGACGTGACACACCACATCTGCTCGCTCCTCTTTCATTTTGGAGAACAGCTCTAAATGCTGCTCATTAGAACACACGGGCAACCAGCTCTGGGCCCTTGGCGGGAAGTTAAATACATCTCTGACATCCTCACGGTCTGGTCAAATAGGTATTAAAGGGGCACAAGGGTGACATTCCTCAGTCAAATAAAAATATTAGCCTACTCGCTTGGAAAGCACCTTCTCTTGTCAGCCAGAGCGAGAGAGGCTGAGGAGGAAGGTGGAAAGGGAAAGTCAAAGGGGCCCTCTGTCAAATTCCTTCTGGGGTATCATAGCCCATATTTACTCCCAAACTGGCTGGCCTCACTCCCATACCATCCAGGCCCGAGAACACATCCTCACTGAAGGTTTTCTTCTTACTAAGGAGCACAGCTCATGTGACCCTTTGGATGGGGTGGGCAGAGGGTATTATAGGATTGGGCTGGATAGAAGGAGACCCAGAGGAAGCAACCAACAAGAAAATCCTCTCCTGTGACTCAAATGTTAATATAGGATTACAAGGTCCATTGGCTGTGTCGGAGATATTCCGGACGAGACAAAACAAGGTCATTGGAGGATTATTATTTATTTATTTATTTATTTATTTATTTATTTATTTATTTATTTTTGGCCGTGTTGGGTCTTCGTTTCTGTGCGAGGGCTTTCTCTAGTTCCGGCGAGCGGGGGCCACTCTTCATCGACGGGCGCGGGCCTCTCACTGTCGCGGCCTCTCTTGTTGTGGAGCACGGGCTCCAGATGCGCAGGCTCAGTAGTTGTGGTACACAGGCCTAGTTGCTCCGCGGCATGTGGGATCTTCCCAGACCAGGGCTCGAACCCGTGTCCCCTGCACTGGCAGGCAGATTCTCAACCACTGCGCCACCAGGGAAGCCTCGGAGCACTATTTAAAATGCACAGGAATAGGGAGTTCCCTGGTGGCACAGTGGTTAAGAATCTGCCTGCCAGCGCAAGGGACACAGGTTCGATCCCTGGTCCGGAAAGATCCCTCATGCCGTGGAGCAACTAAGCCCGTGTGCCACGACTACTGAGCCTGTGCTCTAGAGCCCATGCTCTGCAACAAGAGAAGCCACCGCAATGAGAAGCCCGCGCACCACGATGAAGAGGAGACCCCGCTCGCTGCAACTAGAGAAAGCCCGCGCCCAGCAACGAAGACCCAATGCAGCCATAAATAAATAAATAAACACATTAATTAATTAAAAATAGAAAATAAAATGCACAGGAATAAATGAAACAAACTAAAATGCACAGGGCCTAGAAGAACCGCACTGGGGGCCTGTGCCCTTTCAAAACTGGGGGATACTGTGATAAAATTCATTGGAACAGTCCTCTGGATAAGGGCATTAACAAAATCCTTGGCTCACCACCTTCACCATTCCCAACATGCAACTGAATGCCAGGGATAAACAGAGTCTTTCCTTGACCCGGGCTATAAAGAAATACACACAATTCTTGACCATTTTATTCTTGGTTCCCTTTTGCTTTTTCACAGGACTTCACTTATGGCTGGCACTGGTTGGAAACCAACATTATTAAGACTCTGCGATCTGGGAGAGGTCTGGCAGACCTTGCAGTCAAAGTCCCTGGGACTCAGTGTCCTTCCTCATCTGTAAATTGAGGAGGTTGTTGTGACCTGCCCAGAGTCATTCTGTCTGGACCTTGGCCAACTCCAGGACTTCTAAATCCAAGCCCAAAGTTCCTTCCACCCTATCAGCTCATCCACTATTTAAGTGCCAGTTCTTATCCATCTTGCAAAAAAGGAAAGGTAGCTTACTGCCTGTCTGAGTGACAATGTGGCTAAGAACCCAATCAGTGATGACCTGCCCTGAAAGGGGAAGGACAGGAAAGGAGGAAGTGATTTTGCTTCCACTTCCTTTGGCCATTTTTTCCCCCATTTGATGCTACACATAATAATAATTGCAACAAAAATAACAGCTAGCATTTATAGAGCACAGATTATAGGCCAGGAGCTGTTCCAAGCATTTTACAAGCATTAACATATTTGATCCTCGAACGATCCTTTGAAGGAGGTATTATTATCTCTGTTTTACAGATAAGGAAACTGAAGCACAGAGAGGTTAAGTGGCCTGCCCAAGGGCACACAGCTAGGAGTGGCAGAGCCAGGATTCAAATCCACACGGTCTAGTGCCAGAGCCCAAGGTCTTAACACATCTTTACTAAAGAGATAGTGAGAGGATGATGAGTCTGAAGAGACTATTGAAAAGACAAAGTATGATTACTTCATGAAGTAAAGCTGGATTCTGAAAGTGAAACATCTGAAGGGCCAGACAGGTAAAGTTAATGAGTAGTGCCCTGGAGACACACACACCCCACCCCCCCACCCCCCACCCC